TACACTATACACCTTTTATGGTATAGATATGCTGATGTCTTTCTGACTATTTTTATGCTTATCAATAGTGTATTAATTTATTTCAGATTTAGAGATGCCTGAATGGGAGAAAGTTAACTCCGATGACATTGATTCCAATATTGAGGAAACATCATTAATGAAATGAGTTAATAGTAAATGGTTTTTATATATGACTGTAGGATCAACCACTATGTTTATAGTTACACGCAGTGACGTATTTAAGCAAATAGTTTTGTGTGTTCAAAACTACCATGTTTGAATCCCCCCACCAGATATGTATGGCGTCTATTGTTAAATTATTTATTTATTTATTTATTTATTTATTTATTTATTTATTTATTTATTTATTTATTTATTTATTTATTTATTTATTTATTTATTTATTTATTTATTTATTTATTTATTTATTTATTTATTTATTTGTTCGTTAATCGCAGTTCATGTACTTTGTTTCATATTATATGGGTAAATAATAAATAATGACATCAATTATGCACAAACGGCATCACATACGGGTGTTTTATTGCAGAACAATAATAATAAAATAAAAATAATAAAAAAGCACTAATATATTGAGAATAAAAAACAGAACGTTTCGGGTTCAACTCTTCCTCAGCAAGTGAACACAAGATAGAAAAACACCTCACTATAAAGTATACAAACATAATAAAGAAATGAGGTAAGTTGGCAATTAATGCCAGCTGGGCTGAGTGTGAATTTTGAATATTAATGATTTCTCACATCTGAGCCGAGAGGAATCCCCGACATTTATATGTAAAATATGTAAAATACCAGTAGCTTTTTCAGCACTATAGCAGATTTTACTGACTCTTGGCATATTGCTCATATTGCCATATTGTTCCATGGGTGTTTTATTTGCGTGAAAAATAAAATACTACTTAAATAAGTAGTAGAAGTTTTTCCACATATCAAAATTAATCTTGCGATACTGAAACAACACATGCTATTTAACATTTGTACATCTGTTTCTCATTCGTTCAATATATGTCGTGAATTGTGTGATATGATTGTGCAATTTTGAGAAGAAATCAAAAAGTTTTAATTATGCGAGCGAAATGCGCGTTTGTATTTATTTACAATTAAACACTACGCATGTGTACATTTTTCTCAAATTGTGTCGCTGTGTCAAATGCACGGGACTTGTTGATTGTAAATTTTGAGCGTGGTTTTTTGTGTATCTATTTTTACGAGGCGCATTTAACTAAATACTTACGCTTTGAACACCGAAACTGTTTTATGTTTGGTTATTGAATAATATAGAATAACTGTGACTGAATTGATTAGAACGTTTCAAGAGTGTTTTAAATGTTTGATATATTGATAACTAATCGCAAATCGTACACTTTGAGAGGGCGCTGCACGTTTAAGGAAAGACAAATACACAAAGATGATCAGCTTTAATTTGTTTAAACGAATAGATATAATTTCAGATCTTTCTATAAGCATGACTTTATCTATGGTATTATTATTGGTTGAGTATTTTTTGACTGAGAAGATGAGAGACGTACGAAATTATACGAAAATGGGTAATGAAGTTCGTGAAGAGCGCCATCTGTGCTAAAACGTGGAAACGTTGTACTTGGTAACATTCACGCTACCCATTCTATATGTTTCCGCTTTTGATATTACCTCCTATAAGAAGAAACGTCAAAGAACTATAATGATTTATTGATTAATTATTTCTATTCTAGTCTAGTCTAGTCTAGTCTAGTCTAGTCTAGTCTAGTCTAGTCTAGTCTATTAAAATAAGCTTACGAAAAGTTTAAACTGAGTTATAGATGTATGTTTGATTTACTCGCGACAACAGTTCCGCTGATATTAAACTAAAACAGTTTGGGTTAACTTCGCAATGGGTGATATGTCGCCACCCGTCACATGTGACGTGCAGGGATAGCCATCCGGCTGTTTATGTAATCGTATATTCAGTGTAGTTTATTAACAAGGATTCTATTCTATTCTATTCTATTCTATTCTATTCTATTCTATTCTATTCTATTCTATTCTATTCTATTCTATTCTATTAAATTCTGCTACAATTTATTACGCTTTATTTAATTACATTCTATTTCTTTTACTATATGTGTATGACAAGTTTAGACTGGGTTCTAAATGTATGTTTGATCTACTCGGGACAACAGTGTCTCTGACATATGACACAAAACAGTCCGGGTAAACTTTTCAATTGATGGGTGATATGTCAGCACCCGTCATGTGCAACGTGTTGAGATAGTCATCTGGCTGTTCATACTGTGTGTTTTATTACCCGGGATTCTAATTTCCTATGCACCAGCTTTCCCAGTGGCCATTGGTTGTAAAACTACTATCAATAGAATATGCACTGGTGGCTTAAATGGGGTCATTGCCAGACAAATGAACACATAAATTATAATTTGAACACATTTATGCTAATTAGTACTTAATGAGCGTATATTATAATTTGTCGCTGTTTTACCGATGACATGAAAATGTACGTTGTTTCGTATCTGCTGCCGTTGTTGTTATTTATCCCACACATTTCACTACATGAATTGTTTACTTCCATCCAAGATCTCAAAAGTTCAGTATATATTGAAAGTGACATGGTCAAAGCATTGAAAACATACTTAAGTGGGGAGGCAGTTAGAATTGACAAACTGAAAAGGTAAGTGAAAAAACTTAATTTAACTCAATTTAACGTTATCTGCCAATAAAAACATTGAACTTATCATGTAAAATCCAATTACTTTTTACCAAATAACTATTCGTATATAGTAAACAGTAGAATGTTATCATAGTTCTAGATAGTTATTCAATATAAACAGAAGTTTGGGGAATAAAATATTCTTCCTCAAAGATAAATATGAATAGACTGTATCACCATTTATGTGGCCATGTGTGTGTCTTTTTGTCAGATTTCTAAACGAAGTCGACTCAATTCGTCATTCTGACAGATTAGACGATTCAACGGAAGACTATTTAGATAATCCGATAAACGCTTTTTATATGATAAGAAGACTGCATATCACGTGGGAGGGCATCATAGCAAGTACATTGACCTTGGAGAACTATAAAGGTAAACAGTGAAAAAATACGCCTTTAATATTGCATCTCATTGTCAGTGCTGGAGTGTGCTTACGTTACCGCATCGGGTGCCTTGGGTCGCCTCGGCATGCTCTGTTTTTAACATCCCTGCAAATCCAGGGGAAACTTGGGGAACGATGGTTAATGACGAAATAGATAGATGAAAAGTCGTTCAGCTATTTTCACAAATATAAAATAGCTAAAGGGTGTGTTTTTGAAAATAAATTCAAGAGTTTTGCTTCCATGGCAACGTAACAATACAATCACGTGTTTCTGCTTCCAAGATTACTTTCCTTGTCACAGGTCACTGCGACAAATGTAACTTGGGGCACCCCGAGGCAGCAAAGCGAACGCACTCCTGTGTGTTAGTGTTGACCTATTTAGGACAAGTCCGTTCCGTTCTCCATAACAACCGATATAATCCTACCCTCGAAGAATGGATTTAGTAGACTGCAGCCAATAACATTTATATCTTTGCTTTATAGATTTTCTCTCTAGAATAAGAACGCCTATAATTTCTAAAAAGGAAGATTTTGAAGGTGCGTTAGACGCTATTCTGAGACTTCAGCGAGTATATAACCTGACAATAGAAGATATAGTGGTTGGCAATATATGGGGAAATATCGCCTATCAGCCTCTCTGTCCTCAGAATTGCAGAGTTATTGGTGAAAGGGCTTTACAGATCGGATATTTTAACCAAGCACAGAAGTGGTTACAATATGTAGTTAATCTGAATGCAAGAAACAATGACAATGACACGTATGATATGGATCTTGATGAATCATTGGCGTACTCATATTTCTTCGTAAGTTCGTATATATGTATTGCCAACAGCTGTAATAATATGAAATGGACACATGATGGTAAAGGAATTCAGGATTCACAGGATTCGATGAGTTCAGCGTACTAGTACTAGATAATTTTAACAGAAAAATGTTGTATTAAATAGTTGTACACCAATTGCACAATTGTATAATTATTTAGTTTGTAAACACAACTTAATGTATAGTAATATCTTAGGCACTAGTGGGCTTGATTATAGCCGTATTTAAATATATGACAGGTAATAACAACTTTAACTTTATTTTACTTGACTCTAGAATGGAAATTGGGTAGCAGCTCTTGAAAAGATACAATCAATTTTAAATGAAGGTAGGACATTAAATTGGTTGATTCACTTTGGGCGCCATTTTGTTTTCCGGCAATAATTTGGTACAGTTATTGTTCACATCTTCATGATTGTTTCTTCAATTCGTTTGTTAATTTTAAAATGTGTGTTTTCGTGACCATGTTCAGTCATATTTGTTGTGAATAGCTAACTAACATTTGGAGTTTGTATCAAAATTAATTATTCAAATAGTTCAATCTGTGTATTAATGCACCTTGTAGACCTGTATACAAGTATATGATTATGACATCATTTGTCAGGTGACCCATTACGTTTTACAAGAATGAACCAATTAAAACACCAGGCGTTGATGAATCACCAAGAGGGTAAAGAAGGTATAGTTATGAACAGACCATGGGATGACCCAGTATATCACAAGTTGTGTCGAGGCCAACAGGAAATACAGGTATCATTTGTCTGCATTGCTCTTTTCCTCTGAGTTAGCAATACTTTTCAGACTTAACCTCGCAACGAGAGCGAAATTGTGGTAGAATTCGATTGTTGTCTTTGTGCCTGTATACGCATCATAGTTTGTTTGATCCAGGAGTCAACGTTGATGTTGCCAGGCTACATTGTATATATTTATTATAGCAACCATCCTCAGATTCAAGTAGCATGTACTGTAAGTACACACACGGTGGGTCATTCGTTTTGCTGTTGCAACCATACAAAATGGAGGTGCTACGTATGGATCCATTGATTGCGTTATACTATGATGTCATTTCCGATAAAGAAATTGGAGTTATTAAAACTCTCGCCGTACCTAAGGTTAGTTTTAATATTTCATTTATTACTTCTTGAATGTTTGCATTGTCGATGTACTATGTAAGCTCGATGTGTATGCTGTATGACTTGATGCTGGTTAGCGGGGAAATATATCCAATTACCCATCACCAATCCATCATCTAGTTACGAACTCACCACTTAGGTACAAACCCACCACAAACTCGCTACTACCGATGTACATTCCTATAACATAAGTACGAGCCCATCACCGATGTACGATCATGCTTTGAATTGAACTCGATTGAGTTAAAACATTTTCAAAATTCAGGGATGCTTGTATTTTCCCATATCGATAAATTTTCTTCTACGATCATCTAGATGGCAACGTCAGTGACTATTGGCAAAGATGGGATTCAGACGCCATCAACAGATATACGAGTCAGTAAGGGGTAAATATTAACAATTCAGTTTTCTACACTGACTTATAGCATAAAATAGTTGATATTCAAAATATTAATACAGGTTACGTTTGATAGTGATACGTTAATATATCTGTGGTACTTTTCCCAGTGCTTGGTTGAAAGATGAAGAAAATGTCGTGGTTAGAAGAGTGGATAAAAGAATTGAATACCTTACAGGATTAAGTACATTGGAACCAGACCATGCTGAACAGTTACAGGCATGTGACGTCATCAAAACACTGTTATATCAACCTTTATGACCTTTAGGTAGAATACTACATAACCACCAACAATTATGGCAATTATTTATATGCATCAAATGAGTGACCGAATGTCTTAACATGTTTATCGCCAACATTATTGAATGCACATATTGAAAAACCCTCAGAACAGAATGTTGATTACATATTTCGGTAGCTACCCATTCGATTCTGACACCCTCTCTCCGACTGAATTAATCACACATATATGCAAATATTTGTTTTCTACCGTAGGTGGTGAACTACGGAATAGGGGGTCAGTATGATCCACATTATGACTTTAAAAAGGTAACCTTCATATATTACATTACTTCAAATAAAACAACATACAATATGCTCATTACTTGTTGTTTAGTTATATTTCGTCCTGGGGTTGGTTATTTTCAATAAAATAGCCATGTAATTATCACTTGTCCGGTAGTCTTGTGTGAACCATTCCACCAGTGTTAGAGAAATAGTAGTTTTTTTTTTATTTTCAGCTGAAATAACAATATGTTCATTAGTTGATAGCAGTTTGTTATAAAATATCAAGTTCGTATATCTAGTTCGTTCGTTCGGGATTGCTGTGTGTTCACTAGGAATCATCTACATATCAAGGTTGTAGACACCATAAACATTAGTCACTTACTAATTGAACCGTATAGCAGAGTTCAGTACACATATACGCATGGGTGATTGTTTTAACTGTACATTACTTTCCTTCATTTTACAATTTATTGCGTAGCAAATTAACCCACCAACTCATAAATAATGTCAATTGTATAGCTACTACGAAGCAATAGGGATATATTCACTAATGATTATAAATATAATTAATTAAATTCACGTAGTTGAAGTAAATGAGACTGTGTATGTAATATGTAAAGAAATAGAAAGATGAGACTTATAACTGAGGGACCCGCGAAAAAATGTAAAAGACAAATTTGAATTCAATATTATACATATGCATTATTAGCTACAAGAGTGCCTGTGAACTTGCTTAAACAATTTAAACACACTTTCAAACATTTACTTTTTAAATTCTGTGCAATTTTCATATAGGACGTTGGTGAAGACAAAAACATGGTCGACTATATACACGCATCGCAGAATAGAATTGCCACATGGATGTTTTATGTGAGTGTTTATTGATGACGTGAAAAAGTAAACTTACAACTTAATTTATTTATACAATTTTCATCCTGCCTGAAAGAAGAAATAATTGACTGTATATTAAGGTAACCAATTAAAAATGAAACACTAAAATGTTACCTAGCAGCACTATAAGTATATTTGCATAATATGGTTTGGAACGAACAAAATACACATGTAAAGATGTCATATCTGTTGCCGTGATAATTTAACTTCATCGTCATAATAGGTGATAATAATTGTATCACCGAAAAAAAAGCAATTCATATTATTTTTCAAATGTAGTTTCATAACACAGCAGACTTTAGACGAACATTTATATGTTAAGATAGAGATGCAGGTTGGGAGACTATATTTCTAATTGCCTCTAATTACTGTAATTACATGAGTAAAATATACTTTTTACCAATCAAGTTATATATCATTTGAAAGAGTTTTATTTAAACTTTTGAGTTTTATGGTTTACAATAATGTACTATGATACCATATTAAGT